TCCCAAATCAGTGGACGTACAGATTGTACTACTGTCATTCTGCATGTGTTACAACAGAAAGGAAAAAGCTAGCGATATAGTCATAGCATGACGCTGTGAAAGTTTCCTGCTAAGTGAAAAAAATCTAGACAAAAACTACATACCGTATGATTCCATTTACATAGAACTCCCAAAAATCAGGCAATCTGCAGATACTCAGAAAGGTTCAGCACCTGCCTGATAACAAGAAATGGGTGGAAGAAGAGGACTCCAGTGAGGCATGACAGACACCAGGAACTAGGACTGGTGGGTATGTGTATGTGCAGGACTCACAGAAGTACATACTCTTAAGCTTACACAAGTTATTTCATGTCAACTATACCTTTAAGGTTATATTTCTAAAACAAAAGATTGGAGCTAAAAACGAATAATCTGTGTACTTTTATCAGCTGGCTGGAATGACATTGCTGTCGTTTGAAGTCATAAATGGATTTATTTAGTTGATCCACCTTTTAGATTATGTTGAACTTGACAGGGTTTCTTTTATTGGCATTATTTTGAACTCATAATGTGTAGCCACATGCCTCAGTGGTTCAAACAAAAGCATAGGGATTGAATAAAGAAGGGGTCACATGAAGTCAGAGATTTAGGCTTCAGTTGCATTGAATTTAGTTATGAAGGATGAATGGGATTTGTTAGCTGAAGACTTGGGGAGCTTCAAGTGTAATCAGTGGGAGCACACAGGTGAGAAATGAGCGGAAGGTGGATGAGTCCCAGCTCCTGTAGGGCCCTTACCCTGGGTCCACTGTGGGAGTGAACAGTGAGGCAAGCTTAAACAGTTTTCAGCAAGTTTTAGTATAATTCTACAGTGGTGCCAGTAGTGGAGTATGCCAGGAAGGGTGGATCATTATGAAGTCCAAATAAATTATCAAGAGGTGAAGGGGAACTGAATATAGTTGGCCACTGAATAGGGAAAATGAAAGCTGGTTGCAAAGATTTTGACATGGGTTATGGCAAAAAAGTTGTGTATCTGACAAAAAATAACCATAGGGAAGTTCCAGATCCTCATGGAAACTTGTGTTCTAATTGGGACCTATCACATTTGTGATCACATTAAAACTGGCAAGTGCAAACATTTGTAAATAGCTATCAAGGACAGGAGTAATGTGACTCACAAACAAGACGACATGAGTGAATTCCCAGCATCATGTAAAAGCCTGGTACCATGGTACCCATCTGTAACCCTAGTGCTCAGGGTAAGGGGGCCAGAGACAGGCAGATTGTGCATGTCTTTAATCCCAGCATTAGGGAGGCAGAGGCAGGCTTGATCTACAAAGTTCCAAGCCAGCTGAGCCTAAGAGAGACCCTTGTCTCAAAAAAAAAAAAAACCACAGAAAACAAACAAATCATTAGTAATCACCCTCTGTATGCCAAGCATTGAACTGTGTATGCATTATTGTGATTAAAACTATTTGAAACTATGCCTTGGAAGGCTAAGGCAGTAAAATCAAGTGTTGAAGGCCGTTTTAGCATACATACTGAGACCCTGAATCATAAATAATATACTTAAAAAGAAGGAAACATGATAAGGAGAAAGAAATTTTTGTGGCAACTGAAAATTATATTTTCAGTCAAATTTCAGTGTCCATAGACAGTTTTATTGAAATTCATGGATACTCACTTGTCTCTGCACTCTAACTGCTTTCCCAGTGGGCTGTGGGTGGCAGGCCTTTTCTGCAGAAAGCTGAACAGTCAGTATTTTGGACTTTGTGGGTCATGAAGTCTTTGTGGCAGCCACCCAGCAATAGCTATGGCATTGTGTAGACAAGTGACTGTGGCTGATCCAGTGAAACTTAGTTTATCCTTCCCTCCCTCTCTTCCTTGTCCTACTGTAGAGCCCAAGTTGGCCTCAAACTTAGGATCTTTCGGCCCCAGCCTCACAAGTGCCACCAGACCTGGCTTCAAATTTTCTCTTGATCGATTCCAGTCATTTGACAAATCTAAAACACCATATGTGCTTTAAATTTTTTTTTTTCTTTTTGAAAAGAGGTACAAGCTAGATTTACCCAGGAACTGCATTTTGCTGCCACTGCAATTATGAATTTGTTGAAAGCAAGGACTGAATCTAATTGATCGTTGTATTCCATTGTGTGGCCCATATTGGGTGCTCAGAAAATGATGCATCTCAAGAGGAGCCTTGGGAGAAGGCAGGCTCAGGAGAACCCCTAGGTAGTAGGGCCCAGTCACACGAGGACTGTGATTTCAAAAACGAGGTGAATGTTCTGTGGATTTGTTGAATCGGAGTAACGGTCCAATTTTCACACCATGTTTAGATTATATATGTCTAGGTACAGAATGATGAAAATCTGAATAGCTGTCAGTGTAGAAGCAGTTTTAGGGTATACCCATCAAGTGGGGCACTCTGCAGTTAGGAAAGCAGTGGCTGCCCAAGTTGCTTCAAACAGCATGTAGAGAAGCCATGTGGTATGAACACTGCTACCTCCCTTCTGAGGCCTTCCCATGCCATCCTGGCTGTGTGTGGCCTTCAAGGCAGCAAGGTGCCAAACATTTATCTTTATAAATCTGATTTTTATTTTATTAACGTGTATTGTGTATATTAGTAAATTTCAGTGTGATTTCAACACACACACTGATCAAACCAGAGTAACTGACAGCTCCCTGTTATTTCTTTATGTTTGGCGCCTTCGAGCTCTTCTCTTCCAGATTGTCACAAAGTATGTAATAGGTTATTATGCACTGTGGTCATCTGATTGCCAAGGAACACCAGAACTTGTTCCTTCTCTCTGTTTTGGTCCCTTCGTCCACCTGAACTTCCACCGTTGCCTGTTAGGATCACTGTTCCAAATTCAGGTTGACTTGTTTTGTATAGAATCTGCAGTATTTGACTGGGGCTTATTTCACTTACCATTTAGTTTCTCGCTCTGACCACAGCCACATGCCAGGCTGTAGCACTACCCAGGAGCTCTGAAAGTGGCTCACCATCCACTCTTTTACAGAGGATTTGAGATGCTTACTGTGCATAGCCCATTCTCAAAAGATTATAATTGCACATAATACAAGCACCTTTGATGTTGCTGTCAGAATAGTGGTGGTTATTATTGGCATGTGGTTTTATTTTTAAGGTCTGAAGATCCTGTCTGTTGGCTAAGTGAATGGGGGCTCTGTAGTCGTTGAGAGCCAGGTGACAGGAAGTAGGGCCACTAGAGATTGACAGGCAGCCCTCACCAGAGGTAACTGCCCCAATGGTAGTGAATGAAATAGATATGGTAACCAAAAAGAAATGAGGAACAGGAAAAAAAAAAGCTTTATTGGATATCATTGTGTTTAATTAAGGCTATTGCAGAAAAATTAAACCTAAAATTGTCTTGACACATAGCACAAGAAAAAAGGAAATAATGTCATTTGTTTTAATTAAGGTGAACACAACTTACGAGATCTCTTTACCTTACTTATCAAGATAAATTCTAAGTTTCCCAAAGAGCTCAGAATAAAATTCTGCTTGATTTTTACATTGTACTTCTTACTAGGTGGGACTTTATGACTTGTGAAAGTCCTTCACCTCCTCCTAGACTGCCTTGAGCAGTGGTGCTTTTCTCTAAGCCCTATGGAACTTGGACGGAGAGTGGTGTGCTACACAGAGCTACAATTTGTATGTGTATGAATGGTTCCTATCACTTAAGTAGACTCAGACCAGACATTTCTGAAATCTGCTATACATGTTTTTCTTTAAAAAAAAAAAAAAAAAAAAAAAAAAAAAAAAGGATTTCACGCTTAAATAAGTTTTGGAAACACTGGCTAAGCAACATTAATTAGATTTCTTCACTTTGGTATTTCTCAGAGCCCTTATCGCACTAATATGATTTGACCATTGGCTCATTCTGGGAGCAGCTCCAGGAGTTTTTAGGAACAGAGCTGGGGATACACTAACTTCTATTGAATTACTGTTTCTTCTACTGATTTGCCCCAAGCCCATTTAGTCAAACAAAGATTTTCTCAGATAGCCTGATCAGATTTTGGATTACTCTATTTACAACCCAAAAGTTAACAAGTAAGGGGCATTGATAGAAAATTGTAGAACTTCTTGTCCAGTTTGTCAAAGCTTTGGAAAATGAATCTTAACAATTACCTGGACATTGACTTTTAATAGGTAGACAGCCAAAACTACACTTCACTGTTTAGTGACTGTTGAATCTGGGATGCAGTGAGTGTTAGGACTGTGGTCTTAGCACTACACGTGAAGCCTAGCCTAGCCAGGCAGAGCAAGGGACCATCATCATAATTTCACCTTGATACTGGTAGACACTTTCACTTGGGACCAGAACTCCTTCAGCCCTGGCTCTGGCTCTGAGCTTCAGTACCCAGTGCTGTTGGCTGATGTACAGACTTTGGGACTGTGAAGGATTCTGAAGTCACAGCACTGCTGTGTTAAACAGTGACCTTAATAATGTAACTGTATATTTAACAACTGGTTTTCAAAGTGGATCGAAGTACATATTCCTGAAATGTGATTGTTTTAAATTTTAATTTTATGTGTATGAGTGTATTGTCTGCACATGTGTAAGTACATCCATGTCATGCAATGCCTGCAGAGGTCAGAAGAGGGCATCAGATCCCCTCGAACTGGAGTTACAGACAGTTGTTAGCTGCCATGTGGATGCTGGGAATCAAATCTGGGTCCTCTGCAAGAGCAGCCAGTGCTCTTAACCACAGAGCCATCTCTCCAGCCCCATGAAATGCACTTTTTAAAAAGATTTGTCTCTACCAGGCAATTTTTCTTTAAGGAATGCCAAACTATTATTCATGCTATCAAAGCTGAGGTGAAAAGCAGGAGTTCCTCTTGCAGTAGAGCACTTGCTGGACAGGTGGGAGACCCTAGTCCATTCTCTAGAACCAAACACATGAAAAAGGTGAAATTTGCTATGGAAAATTCTTCAGTATGGAAACAGAATTGTTTCATATCATATTTAATCTTTTGTGTCTTTTTCTCATTCTTTTTACAGTTTTTTGAGGTGCCGTTTGACTCAAACATGAATAGAACAAAAAACAGGCCCCTCGTGCGTGGACAGATCAGGTAAATCATGGCTCAAGTCCTCTTCAACATTCTAGAACATTCTGTGACTTATTTAACTTCACCTGGAGCTGTGAAGTGAAGGTGATATAGACACACTCATATATGCTGATATGAAACATCTAAATGAACCTTTGAAATTTTTTTTAATCTAATATATATTACAGTCCAAAGAAGGAGAAGGTCTGAATGGCTTATATTGGCTGTTTTAAATCAGTGACTCCTCTGTATTTCCAGGCATTGCTCCTATGGAGCTAAAAATAGATGAAAACGACACTTGTGCATCAATTCATCACACATATTGAATAAAACAGTGCAGGGAACAAATGCAGACACACGCTGATAAACCTGTGTAAAGGAGAATTGAACATTAGCTGTCTTTAGACATGCAGCTCCACAGATACTCTACATCCTGTTGTTGAAACAGAAGTAAAGTTTTGTGCTATGTTGTACTTTTTTTAGTAATGTTAGAGAGAGAGTACAATCTCTACACCCTATCCCCAAAGCTAAAAGCTACCCAGATTCACATAGTTAACGAGATGGAGTATAAGTTTTGTTCTGCCTTTCTGAAGTCCCATTTGTATCATAATGACAAGCACTACGTGTTGCTATGTAGGTTTCTCATGACTGCCCCCATGACATACACATTCCAGAGCATCCTCAGCAGCTTTACAGAGGAAAGCAAATAGTGGGTTTCTAAGACATCCTCCATGTGAGCCAGACAGAACAGGAAGAACAGTTTCCACTGAAAACCATTAGAATGTATGGCCTTGACCAAGTGTGCAGGGTAAGCCCCAGGATGCACCCTAACTGTTTAGCTACATTAAGGGATTAAATTAGGACAATAAGGGGAGCACAGGAGATGGTGACTAGCTGCAGAGGGCCGATGTGCTCTGCGGGGTAATGTTGAGGGGTAGCCAGGACAGTTGGGCTTATACCTGTCATCACAGTGGAATCAGAATCATCAGTGTCGTCTGTGTCATGTTCAGCATCTCCAGATTGGATGGTATATGTATAGTGAAATTACCACCCTTTAGACAGGGAGTCATGACACTGATTTTGATGTTGGTGGCTATTTCCTTCCAGTTCCTGCTGCTTATTTGCATGGAAAAATTTTAAAAGACATAAATGAAAAGTATAATATATCTAAATCCCTTTGGGGGGGTCTGTATTATAATATAGACCTCTTTACATAGCTGGGTTTTTTAATATTTTATTTATTATTTTTATTTTATTGAGTACGAGTGTTTTGCTTGCATGTATCTAAGTGCACCCTTGCTGTGCAATGCCCACGGAGGTCAGAAGAGATGCGTCAGATCCCCTGGAACTGGAGTTACAGATGATTGTTAGCCACCAAGGCGGTGCTGGGAACCAAACCTGGGT